CCAACAAAGCACTATACAAATAATAGAGGTGACTACTGTTCCAGACTGAAGTATTGAGTTTATATTTCCTTCATGTCCCCAACAAAGGTTGTGGGTAGAAAGATGTTTTCGATGAATTCTAGCTTAGTACCGTGATTTCCAAAGCAGCTTTAAGGTTAAGGTCTTCTTTTGGGCACAGGTGTGGTACCCCCCACGCCCCTGCTCCGAATCAAAAGCATCTCACACAGTTGACTAAGCTGTCTTCACTGCCACACAGCACTCACTCAACAGGTATTTGCTGGGTTTACCTGGGGATTTTCTAGCCAGTGCTCTTCACAGTGTGGCCCATGGACCAGCACCAGATTACGAGTTGTTGCTGGTCTGCTATGACATAGGTCTAAAGAGTGCAGAGGAAGCATTTACAGCCCTCTGACTTTGCCCTTTAATCAGTGGTTCCTGTCGCTTGTGGTTCGACCTGTGACCACATCGTATGCAGCAGACTATACATCAGTGCACGACAGACTGCAGAATACTGCAGCAAAAGTGGTTCTTCACCCCAGGGGGTCCGTGCTAAGCCAAGGCAAATAAGCTTTTGCTACAAGGAACAGATAGTATCTTTAGGGTGTACAAGTCATATACAGTCTCTGCCTCATATTCTTTTTTATTTTACAAACCTTTAAAAGTATAAAAGCTACGTTTAGTTGAGGGCTGTATAAAAACAGGCCAAGGTGTGGCTTTGGCCCACAGGCCACCGTTTGCTGACTCCTCCAGGCAACGTATACGGTCCCGGCTATAGATAGGGCACCACATGGCATTGCTTGCTTTCATTTTCTTCATCCTTATCATTACCATCATCCTCCCCAGTTACTGACGAAATTTATTGTGCTCTCACTATGTGCAGGAATCTGGATTAGGGCTGTGGGTACAGAGGTAAAAAGCAGTTCTGTCTGCACCAATCTTACAGTGCAGACTCAATCACAAAGGGCAACACGGGAGTACACTCTTTAAGGGTGCACAAAGTATGGTGGTACTATGTGTTATGAGAGATGTAGTGTTTTTATGAAAGAAAGAAAATGAAATGGAGCAAAATTTTGATAAGAAAACAACATGCTTCTAATTAATTCAGGTATATAGCCAGTGATGGCTGGTTCATGTACAATCATAACCAAAATCCTAATGCTTTTAGGTGGACAGGATAAGAGGATAGGTTTCAATCTTTTGGGGATGACAGTGCTGTGTCTAGTACCATGCCAGTGTGCAAGTGTTCACTATGTAGACCTCACAAGCCAGGAGTATTAATCGAGCACCCACTTTGTCATAGGCTCAGATAAAGGTACTGGGACCACAGAGATTAAACACACAGCAGTTCTTGCTTTCAAAGGACTCAGAGTCTCACTGCAGAAGAAAGAGCAAAGAGATGAAGAGTTATCAGCATCTCTCCATCAGGCGTTCCGCAACTTGCAGCCGAGGTCACCGCCAGGTCAGGAAGTAAAAAGCCCAGAGGCGGGGGAAACATACTCCTAACGACAGCACTGTCATTTCAAGGAGATGTAGTCTGGTAGGAAAAACTCAGAAAGGCCAACCAAGACTATTTGTGGCACAATGAGCAAAATATCTTCATCCAGTTTGGAATAAGGGCCCCTTAATATGATAGATTATGATACAGTATCACTGTTCTATCAAAATAAATCCTGGTGTAAAATATTTTTCTTCCTATAGTGTCAAAAGATTAAAGTAAGGCGGGAAGGAGGGGAGAGTAAAAAGAAAGTAAAAAGAATTAAGATGTGTCAGGTACATGTACTAACCCCCACGTGTATGTAATCACTATATACTGCAAATATGGACTAATAAAAATAAATTTTAAAAAAGATTAAATGGTTGAGCTGTTCCTTCCTGAACAAGTATGTTTTTCTTTCACAAAATACAAAACAAACATGATAGAAATAACAAAGACATGAGCAGCTGGATTTCTCAAATCAATTCTATAAGAATGACTTTTTACAAATTAATTATTTAATTAAGTTTCTGAGACAGGGACTTGCTATGCAATTCAGACTGGCCTTGAACTCATTACAGAGCACAGGCTGGCCTCCAAGTCTTGTCTGCCTTCCTGCCTTTGCCCCCTGGTGCTGGGATTACACCTGGCTACTAATGACTTTTTAACAAAAACCACTGGAAACCAAAACAAAATAATATACAAAGACCCCTCCAGTCCAGCCTAAGAATGTGCAAAGCCCACCGCCTACTCTCCTGAGGACCGACGCTTTGCTGCGCAGGGGGCTGCGGTGGGCACTGAGCAGGGACCCACTAAGAAAACAGCCGTAGTACCCACGGGGTGGAGAGAGTTTACAGAGATGCAATCTCAGTTGGAAGGGGCGTATGAATAGGAATTTGCTCGCCAGGAGGGCAGCATGTGGGTGTAGAAGCAGAGAACGAAGTATGGGTGAAAGCACTCTGAGAGAGGAAGTTAGCCAGGATAAAGGCACAAGAGCCATACAGGGCGAGGCCTCTGTAGAACACATCACATGTAGGGCCTGGCAGAGTGTACCCAGTGGGGACTAAAAGACGAAAGTCCAGCTGCCGAGGCTTTGCAGGCCAGCAGCGTTCAGCCTTCCTGAGGTGCAGGAAGCAATGGTGTGACATGTGTAGTTCTAGGCAGCTGCCTTCTGCCCAAAGTGAGGAAAGAACTAGGAGAGGGCTGGCTACACCGTGGAGGCTCACAGTTCCTTCCCACACGCTCCCATACTCAGGGTACCTGGCACAGGGCAGTTAGCAGGCAGGAGACGCTACTGCACTTCCCTGTCTGAAACAGCATCATTCCTGTCTGGCTGATGCTAATTTGTGTGTCAGTCTAGACCTCTTCAAGGCCAGGAACTGAGGAAGCAGCAGCAAAAAGTCTCTGCTCACTTTACTTGGCACCTGTTTGGTTTTCCCTAGGACCACGAAACAGGCCTCTGCCTCTCCTCCCTGCTGGTGCGAGACCCAGGGACTACCTCACCCTCTCACCTGCTCCCCGCGCCTGCTGGACAGGTGGCCTCACTGGTGCTGGGACACTGCCACCCTCCTCACCGGTCTGGCCTACTTTTCCCTCCCAACCCACCTACCCAAATATCTCTCCTCCAACAGCCAACGTGAATCCACCGCTTGAGAAACTGGTCGCATTACCTTCAGGTTCAAACCTAATTTAGCTGTGATGCTGGCTAACCCAATTTGCTGAGCTCCTTCCCTCATTTACAAGGTGGAGTATGAATATTTATTAATAGGGTGGGTGCAAGGATTAAATGAAATAAATCAACATACTGCTGACACATGGAAAGTGCTTAATGGTCTACAACAGTATAAGAAAAGCACTTTCTGGGGGGTTAGTACTGAGGATTGAGCCCAAGCCCTTGCACATGCTAGGCAAGTGATGCACCACTGAGCTACACCCCAGCCCTTTTCTCTTTTTCCTTTTTATTTTGAGACAGAATCTCACTAAATTACCCATTCTGGCATCGAACTTGCCATCCTCCTGCTTCAGCCTCCCCAGTAGCTGGGATTACAGGCATATGGCACTGTGCCTTACACAGTTAACATTCATGAACTCACTGTAAGTGTTTCAACTACATTAATCTACTTTCTCCTTATAACAATCCTGTAACATAGGTCCTGCTTTCCCATTTTACAGACAAGGAGACCAAGGCACAGAGAAAGGAAGCAGAGTGCTCAGAGTCACACAGCTGGTAAATGCAGAGCTAGGACTCAAACATAGGCTGCCTGGCTGCAGAGCCTGTGCTCCTAGGCACCTGCTACTCCACTCAATCACACCATTTCCCTCTCAGAGCTCACTATGACCTCAGTAATCTGCATAGCCTGGATTCATGTTTACATACAGTAGCAACCCGGCCTGTCTCTAAGCCCTCGGAGGGCAGGTGCTGTATCGTGGACCTGCTCGGCACACTGCATGAGAAGTAGCAACTATGTGCTGACAGATAACTCATTTACTATCTTCCACTAATGCTTCCATCTGTGGCATTTGCACTTTCAAATCCATCTGACGAGTGTGCAGAGAAGAGGTCCTCAGAGGTCTTGAGAACTGGGACTGTCAGGGAGCTCGCCCACCCTAACCACCAAGAGCAGCTGCCCACGCCTGAGCTCTGAGCGTGCGCTGTGGGTGGGAAGGTGGTTCAGTGCTGAATGCCTACTTCCCTCTGCGAATGTGGACTTTTTGTTTATACCAGGCAGAAGGTGCCCATGTGGCCAGCCTGCACCAAATCGTTGGGTTCTGAGTCACTAGAGAGTGTCCCTTGAGGACAACACTGCATACACAGTCATGAGTCTGTATTTTGCAATTCCAGCAGGAAGAGAGCCCTGGGAGCTTGCACCCAGTCACCTAGGGCCAAGACACGCAGACGGGTGCCCGGGAAGAGACACACCCTGGCTGTGTGGCTGTGGACACATCACTGAACCTGCGGAGCTTCACTGTCTTCTCGGACGTGGGGGGCTCAGAATAGGCCTGCAGGAGAGGGGTGCTACTGTGGGACATGTGCTCAGAGCCCGGGGTGCCTCTGAAGCACTCCGTTAAGCCTCTGGTGAGCCAAGCAGGGCCTCGTGGGGGAAGCACTAGCCATGGGAACTGAGCTCTTTTTTAAGGACAATCATTCAGAGGTGATGAGGCCGAGTGGGGGCAGAGCCCAGGGTAAAATGGCTACCAGCAGCTGCCTGATAGGTTGGTGGAGAAATCAAGCGGGCAAGAGCACAAGACTGGAAGCAACAGCCTGGCCTGGGTCTCAGCTTAGAGACCCCTGACAGTGGGGCCGTGGGTGAGTGACCACATCTGTTGGGCCTCAGCCTCCTCGTCCCCGAGATGAGGAGGGTCTGAGCCCACAGAGTGGCCGGCATGGTGCGCAGCACCCAGTACGCATCCAGGAAGTACTGGCTGTGGCACAGCGTGGAGAAAGCCCCGCCCGGCACATGGCACGGAAGTCCCTGCACACTGGAGCTGCTGTGGCTGTCACCGTGCTGTGAACCGCGGTACTCACAGGCGCTTCTTATCCACCACGCGCTTCACCCGGATGGCTCTCTGCTCTGAGTAAAGCTTGCACACTCCTGCCGAGGGAGAACACCAGACAGAGCCCATTTAAAATGGCTTCTTGGGCAAAGGAATCATTACATATAATGAGACAAGACAGCCTTCAGCTAGCAAAACTGCAATCTGAGCTACATCTACTGTGAAATGCCACACTTGACCCTTAAGAGAAAATGAAATACTTTTTAGGTAATCTTCAACGAAGTCCAGAACAGCAGTCCTGTGCTCCTTCACTTGCTGGGAGTGTATCTCCTTATGAGCTGAAACAGAAAAGGACAGTGCTCAGAGCTCTGTATTAATAGTCCTGAGACACCTCATCTGCAGTGGTTACTTTATCGAGGGTATTTTTAAAAACATGGCTATAAAATAAGTCTTGTGTCAAGGGAGGGTACATTTTTAAGAGTAAGATTTACTAGGCTTTAAGAGTGAAAAACTAAGCCCATAGGAAAACTGCAGCCACCTAATTTATGGTTTATCACAGCACCTAGTGACAGTATTTGCTGCAACCCCTGCTTGAGTGCTGGCCCTGGGGGATTAAGAGTAGCCAATGCACATGCTGACCTTCAAGTAATAGGTTTAAATCAAACCTGACCACACTGCCCCTGGCCTATGTGTGCTGTTTCCCAGCCTGGGGTCCCCTGTCCTCTCTGTCCGGCCATGCACATTCCCAGGGCCCCCTAGACTCCAAGTCAAACTGTCCCTCTAGCAGCCATCCCCAACTCCTAGCCAAAATTCATTCCTGCAGGAATTTCTGTACAGAAGTCTGCTGAGACGACCTCATGAAACTGCAGAGTTTCTGTGTGTGCATATTCTTCTGGTAGAAAGTTCAATCACTTTCATCACACACTTTTGAGCGGTCCACCAGAGCTCTCATGGAAGCTTCCCAAACAAGTCTGTCCTGAACACAAAGCATCTGAAACTGGAATTCTGTGCTATTAATGCAGTGTATCTGGATGAGGGCATTAACGAAGAACGGAGGAAGAGACGTGACCCAGGGTGCCATCCCAGGCCTCGCTGGGGACCAAATCCAAGGAAAGAGACAATGAGAGCTCTCCTGGTGCCAGGCATGGTTCTAGGAATGCTGTAAGGATTTAACTTAGTTCTCACAACAACCCTAGGAAGATGTATCCTATAATCCTTTTAAAGACGAAGAAACTGAGGCCTGGGAGATGAAGCAAGGCTACCCGGGGAGGTGGCGGAGCTGGGCACACTGCTCAGCAGCCAGGGTTCGAGTCCCCGCCTAGCCTGAGTTTAATACTAATACTGAGTTTACTTTAAGAGACCGGCAAAGCTCAGACGACCACCCTCCACCCTTACCCATGTCATGCACCCCGCCCTACTAAACACCGCAACGTCCACGCGGCCCCCGGCCCTCTACATGTCTGGTCTGCTCTGCAGAGGTCTCTCCCATCTTGCTCTTCTCAGATGCTTACCTTGAATGATGATGGTGGGTTTTTTCTTTTTATCTTTCTGATACTGGTGATTGACATCAGGGCCTTTGCACAGAGCAAACCTAGCCCTTTTTCACTTTTTATCCTGAAACATGGTCTCACTACGTGGCTACCTTGCTCCAGCTGGGCTCTAACTTGCAACTTTCCTGCCTCAGTCTCCCAGGCATGTGCCACCATGCCCGGCTGGATTTGAAAGTTTTAAACCCTAATTCTCAGTCAGAACCTAAGAGGGAATTGTAAGTGGTAGTGCCATACGCATCTTGTGTAACTACCCGACATATTCGTGCTTGTCTGCCTGCATCTTCAGAGTACTTTACCTTCTGTTCTGAGTTGCTGAATTGCTTCTGAACAGGTCCTCATAAATATCTGAGCGTCCTGGTCGATCTGGTCTCGCTCTGTGTCTGTCATCGTCCCATACTCAGACATGATATGGCTGAAAGAGGATAGAAGAAGAAAAGGAGGGCATCAGCAAACGACAACTTAGCCTGGGGTGCAAAGGGAGGAAAGGGCTTCCCTGGCCAAGTGACAGGGAAGCCACGGCCTTCGAGAGGAGGAGGAACAATGCACAGAGCCACACTGGGTGGAAGAAAAGCCTGGAATAGACCCCCAGGCAGGCAGGGAGAGGAGGCAGACTGGGAGCCGGGAGGTCCAGGGCTGGAGCCACAGGGCTAGGGAAGGGCAGAGCTTTGCCTCTGAGAGGCTGGGGCAGCTCCGGGGGGCTTCGGAGCACAGCGACTGAGTTAGGTCTACGCTGGCAGCTCACCCTGGGTGCTGTCTGGACAATCATGTGGGGACACAATCTGGGAATCTGGAAATACATGTGAGAAGCTAGTTTTGGCTGCTATCTTTCCAGGGAGACAAGCAGTCTTTAAAACTCACAATAAAAGAGCCTTTAGAAACAAACTGCAGGGTCTGGGGATTTAGCTCAGCGGCAAAAGCGCCTGCCTGGCAAGTGCAAGGTCGTGAGTTCGGTTCCGGGTACCGGAGAAAAACCAAAAAAAAAAGACACAAACTGCATTTCCTTTGATGTTCAGTTAAACCTAGAATGACTGCTCGTAAGAGCGTTCACTTTTTAATACTGCAGTTTGAAGCTCAAAATCCAAGAGTTCTTTACCTTGTTCATCTTTCTATGACCTGGGTGGGTGTGGCAGCATAATTAGTAATGATGATGCTACTTAGCCTAATTCGACGCTCTGGATTTTACAGCTGAAAGTTTAAGCCACAATTACAAGTTAAAGGGATCCTACATAATGCATGGATGCAAACTACTGCACTGTCACCCACCAGCCCCACTGGCCAGCGGGTCTCACTGAAGACAAAACACTGAGTCTTACTGCCCTGTGCCCACAGGGACCTTACTTCCTGCACTGGCTCCCGTGTCCTTTCACTCTGCTGACCTTGGGCAGCCACCAGTCGGCTCCTCAGCCCGGCCTACCCTCTGCTCAGACAATGTCCTCGGGCCTGGCTTCCATGACCACCCTTTGGGCTTCCTGTAGCACCGGCATGGTACGTTCTTCTACACCTGTGCTGGTTACTAGATGATGGTCTCTCAGCTCAAAGCTGCCCTTCTTTGCTTTGTACGGAGTCTGGGGCCCCCAAATTCTACTGCTGTTCCACCACTATTCGTTACTTCTACTTTTTTTTTCTTGATTGCATTCACCATTCCTCAAATATTAAATAATTATGTCTGTCTGTTTGTCTGTTTCCCTATACCTCAGATGGTGTCTGGCACATAGTGGGGGTACAAACACTAGCTGAACACGTAGTCTGATTAATCCTCACTATCCATTCACCTACTCACATACTGATACAAACCTATCGGCCGAGTCCCCATATGTCAGGGACTGGGCCGGGGCGGGGGGCTCAGAGTTGCATGAGGCTTACACCGATCTGCATGGAGAGCACTGAACTACAGCAGGGACACAGTAAGAGGAGCACAAGGAGCTGCAGTGAATGGTGGTAATACACAAGGGACAGTGGACAGCTCCTACAGGGTGGTGCAGGTAGCCTGAGGGGAAGGCACCAACACAGAGGGCAGCGGTGAAGACCAGCTACAAATTTCCAACCTGCAGGTGCTGAGCAGAATAGCCACATGTCAGCTCCACCCCACGGCACACCTGGAAGAGGAGCAAACAGGCTGGTCCCATCTAAACTAAGGATTCCAGTGATGGACCTCGGGGCTGCCTGGGTCGTATCAGAGGGGCAGCACATCAAATGCACATGGTCAGTGTCTCCACACAGACTATGTCTACCATTTGTCTGCACTATTTTTCAAATAAATGTGGATGATATTGTGATGAAAAAGTACATACTTACGTAAAACCATGTCTCACTGTGTAATAGTTGTTTCTCTAGTATTAACAGGCTTTCTAAAAACACAGTGATAAATAAGACACCATACTCCAGCTGGAACAGGGTCCCTGCAGTACAAGGACTGGGCCCACTCATGTCGTCAGTGGGATAAGCCACTGAGGGGTGATTATGACTGCATGCCACACAGCGCCTCTGTGCTCAGAGGCAGATGAAACTAGACCCTGGGTGCCCTCAGCTGGTCAAGAGACCACTGCCAGAGTCCAGGAAGACACGAAGAGCGACTTCAGTGTCCAGGATGTGTGTGCAAGTGTGGCAGATCCAAGGAACACTGAGGGGGTAATGGAGGCTGTCTGGGTGCAGAGGTAAACTCAAAGCCCAGGGAATCTGGTCTGCGCGAGTGCACATCAAGCTACAAAGGACAGAGGTGCCAGCGGGAGGGATGTTCTGGGCTAGGCCAGAGACACCTGCAGAGGTAGGGCCTTACCCAGAGGAGATGGACCCCGAGCAGACAGGAGGGTTCCTAGGATATTCGAAGAGCAACAGATGTAGAGTGGGCACCTGACAGTCATCAAAACTAATGCAAGCGTGCTGAGGATGTGGCCTCAAATTATGCTATCACAATAACAAAATCATTACTATTTTGAAAAGTCAAGTATCTGGCAAATAATTACCAAAAATATTTTCCCACAGGGTATACATATACACATTCATCAAAATTTCATTTCATTTCACTATGTACACAGAAATAATCATATTACCGATCTCAATTTACCTAGATACTAGACTCAATTAAAGGAGACTACATTGGGTATAGTTCTGGATTAGTCAATTTATTTTGTGGGGAAAGGAAAAAATTGGGTAGTAATGTTTATTTACTGGTTCTGAAATGTAAAGGAATATATTTTTATTTAGTTGATCAGAATACCAAGAAAGGTTAGTATATCAAGAAAGAATAAGTTCAGAATCACAAAATATCACTGATACTTTTCTGCCTATTAATCTAATACACAACTAGATACTTCCTGAGGAGAGATGAAAAAATAACAAATATTTTACGTTCTGTGGTAAAGATACTGAAAAGGTATGAGCAGAAGTCAGACACTACAACCTTACTTTTGCTCTATAAATACTAGATTAACAGGTGAATTTCACAACATATTTTGGACTAGAGCTATCCAGTATAAGATCAATCTGCCTAATATACATTATGAAGTTAAACACTAATGTCTGGGCTACAGAACTGAATGAAACGTAGATGCTGCTTTCAACACACTGTACTACAACAGGTGCGCCTACAGGCTTATGCATATGTTTATATATCATAAAACAAAAGCCAGCCATTATTGATACTTCCCACACACTGACGATGACCACTGTTCTTGGTACTTTCACACACATTTACCTACTTAATTCTCAAAACTTGATGAGGTAGGTACTATTATAATTCCCACCTTACAAAGGAAGCAACAGACTCAGAAGTTATATAACTTCCAAGGGCACACAGTCAGTCATTAGCAGAACTGAGACGTGAACAGGACGGGTGGGAGGGTGAGTCGGTGGTGGCCTCGGTGCGAGGGAAGGCTGAGCTTGGTGAAGATAAACACGGCAACAGCGTGTCAAACGAGGGAAGGGTCAGGAAAGGGGCCCCTCCGTCTTTGTACTTTCCAGAACCACACTGTAGGAGGTGCTCAGTAGTTTTTTTGTGGAACTGACATTTGAGGAAGGGGCAATGGCAGAGTTTGGGGTGGCAGGGATCAGAAAGGGAAGGGTGTGAGATGAGCAGAACAAATACTAGAGGCAAAGCCTCAACAAAATCTGAGATCCAGGCCTGAGTGAACACGAGGCCCTAATAACAACACAGTGAGCAGAGCAGAGAGCACTGGAAATGAGGAATGAATCAGTGCTAACCAAACGTTCTATGACTAACGCTTTGCTTGGAAAAAGAAACCAGGCAAAGGGTCTCTGAACCATTTTCTATTAATATCTTGGGAAACTAAAGGAATTTTAAGGAATACTGGATCACTTTCTGAAGTACTACAAGGACAATCACACAGTACAACTGCTACAGACCGGAGCCCGGGCTGAGGACAGTTCCCATACAAGGAAACGTTCACCACAGCCCAGTGAGCTCAAGCGAGTAAAAGCGGCGCAGCCTAAAAACTGCAATAACAGGCTGTCACACACCAGGCCCTTGAACATCCTTGCTTGCTCGGATCTTGCTTTAATTTATCTCCTCTGTTCAGTCCTACTCTTCCGAGGCCACCAGGAAAGCTGGGCGCTGCGGGAATGTCAGGAGTAGAGGCAGTGACAGAAGAGCCACTGGGAGCCAGAGGTTGGGATGAAGCGAGAGTCAGTGAGCAGCTTTTCATTGAGCTGGTCTGGCATCAGGTGGGGATGAGAGATCCAAACAGCTTTCCCACGCTCCCTAACCTAAGTGGCCCTGCCTGGTGACCATGCTGATGCCGACGCGCTGCTCTTTGCTCCCTGCCACCCCAGACCACATCCCTCCCACCTCCCTTCCCATCCTAATCACCCTGCATTCTGTTCTCTGAGCATTCCCTTTCCCTGCCGGCAGTGCCTCCTGGGGGCCCATACCCCAACTTCTAGGGCAGCAGTGCTCTGTCCTGGAGGTGCGCTCCCTCCACCCGGGTACTCCCTGACCCAGCCAGGCTGCTCCGTCACCCGAGTGAATTAAAACACGGAGCAGTGCTCAGACTGTCCATCCCAAAGCGAACATCGTACATCTCTGTTAGTTACTGTCTACCTTCAAGTCTCCTAACTGCACACACACATGGTGTTACTCCTCTCAATTTAAAAATGAAGTAAAAGCAGTTCTAGTCTACGTCTCCTACCAGCTGCTACCCAGCTTCTCTGTTTGGTAACGCTCTCAGCAGCATGTCTAGTCCTAGTCTCCACTTTTGATCATTCTCACTCAGACCTTCCCTAAACAGGCTTTTACCCTGCCTGCTCGGCAAGTCACCCCCGGCACCTGTGCGCTCAGTCCGAGCCTCCCTGCTGCTCTCGCAGACCCTGCAGGGCAGCGGACGCCTTCTCTCTGGTTTGTTTCCCCCTGGCCTCTGTGAGCCCACACAGTCCTGTCCTCTTGCTCCCTCCCCAGTG